TTTTTCAAGGTGACTTTCCAATTTATTTAATTCCGAGTTGAAATTTCTGGAAAAATTCATGTCTTCGACGTACTTTATAATCTTCGGAATTCTGCTAGATTTCACCTTCAAAATGCATGAAATCGCAATTCAGGGACCCTACATTTCAAAATTTTCCGGACCCTATGAGATTTGCCACCCTCCCCCGCAAAATTAAGGTTTGGCTACGGCCACTGGTTATAGCTGTACGATTATAGCTATAAAGACTTGAAGTTATTGTTTGAAGTAAAATATAGCTGAAGTTAGTAACAAAATCTCTCTAGATCTTCAGATTCGCGCGTTCGCCAAACCTTGATGGCTCATATTTTTCGTTGTGCCTTTTTCCCTGTTTTGCCCCCCCCCCCCCAGTGAAAATTCCTTAAAAAAGGCACTGTTGAGCATTTTCGCTAACCCAACATGATAGAGACCAAAAACCAATAATGAACAAATATATAAATCATAATGTATAACTTATATCTATGGTTTTGGGTAGGGATATGCACATTATGCCGGCATTTCTTTTAGCATAATAGGGAACCCTTTTGAGATTGAGCATAATAAGCAAAAAGCGAGCATAATAGCCAAAAGTTTCGGTGTGACGTCATTTTTTGGTCCTCTGCTGTACAGAAGGTGTTCCTAGTGCAACCTTCATCTGGAACAGCTGAGTGAGTATTCTTGTTACTAGGTCAAACATTTGGCGACTAGCAACAGAACACGTTTATAGAGGACGTTGTTGAGGCCTCAGTTATGTTGCAATATAACAAACGTAAATTACTTTAATTTGATTATGTCAAATTAAATAAACTTAAGTTGTTTTTTTTCGTGGTCTTGATTGAATATGATGCAGCATAATTATGGGCATAACAGGGAAAAATTTTGGGCATAATAGGCTAAAGTCAGGAGCATTTGAGAATAGCATAATAGGCAATTTTTTAGCATAATGTGCGTGTCCCCAGTTTTGGGGCATTTGCAAGGTGACATTGTATGTGTGGGTTTGGTAGCTGTAATAAGTTACTTAATAACTCTACATTCTGTCATTTAAAATTGTACCTATAATTAATTAATTTATTTAATTTTATTGCAATTTTTCACATTTTGATAGCCCTGCCAATCGGGATGATTCACATTTTGGGGTGTGTCACACACCCTCATACCCCCCCCAAGTTTCTTCCCTGAACACAAACCAGAGTAGGTGATGCAACGTGCACCACAAGATGTGATATGGAATGGAAAAGCTAGGAGCACAGACAGAAGATGAATCAGGGGTGGATCTAACCTCATTTGCAAGGAGAGGTGCAGGTTTTCCATGGGGTGATGCACAGGGGAACCATACTGCCCACTCTCGTATGCAGTCTGCATTATGGTACTATCCTTGAACATTACGTACCATTATTTGAGATGGCCGAATCTGGATGTTTGCCGTTCTGTTACATTTATCATTATCTTTTGTTTATAAAGTTTATATTGGCTTTTCATCCACACCAGCCTCCATGACACTGCTTCCACACCAGCACCCCCACCATCTCAGATATAAATTTACCAAAGGTGTTGGAAGGGAGTTTAATAACAAGATTATTATCGTATCCATTTATAACGTGTGTTGTACAACTGAAACAGGATATACAAATACCTCTGTGTCTGTGTAGATCGGATATATTTCCCACAGAACATCTGTACATGTTCGGAGCACCACGTGTTATAAAATAAATTCTGGAAGTCAGTCGAGAGAATGCTTTGAGCTGCCGCAAGCTAGCCATATTACCGCTACTATATTAAACTGTCTGCGTCGTTTCTGTGTTTAATAAATACAACTGCTATTTCACAACATAGAAAATTTGTAAAAGTAAATAAACACTTTATATAAACATATTAGTGAATGCTGTTTGCACGTGAATGTGTTTCCACTTTCCATTCGAAAATATACAGAACATTTTCCTCTCTGTATTAAAGTCTAAAATAAAAGTAACAAACTGGACAAAATGATTTGAATGTATTTTTGCCCACCAAATTGCTTTTCTCAAAATTGGAGTCGGAGTTGTCCATACTTCCCTTCAGGCTCAGGGTTTACGATTTACCACAGTTAATTATTAATAGAACTGTGGATTTACACTCCTGCAAAATCCTGCAATCAACATTTCCGTGCGCACACGCACGTACGGAAAACCATAGAGATTATAAATAACATAATTATAAGTGTTATTTATAATCTCTATGCGGAAAACGCGATCGCGTGAAAAACGGAAATCGTGTGGAAACATCGAAGAGTTGTGCACTGTGCAGATTCTTTATAGTTTATAACAAATGTGCAAAGGTCTGTGATTATGGCTTTGAATAAACTTGGTATAAATACTGTTGATGTAAAGGACAAACGAGTTTTGATAAGGTATGTACTCAACCAATGTGCTGCGGAATATAATACAAAATTCTACTCAAAGTGATGTCAGACAGAAATATATATTAATTTATTAATTAATATTTTAATATGAACTTAAATCACTGACCACACATCAAAGTTAAATACCACCTAGCCATTTTGGTTGCAGGTATTAAATCAGATTTAGTTTCTGCTCCACAGATTTCAAGTAGGTAGGGGGCAGTGGCAGAAATTCAACGGAGGAAATGGTAAGGAGGCAGGGGCGGATTCAGACCGTTGCAACCGTAGCATATGCTACGGTCAGATTTTGGGTACTTCCTCGGGTAGAAGAATTTGCATCACAGATTACGTCATCAGTTAGTTATAGTGATTAGTGTTGGGGTTAGGGTTAGGATAAGGGTTAGGGTAAGGGTTAGGGTTAGGGTAAGGGTTAGATTAAGGATTAGGCTTAGAGATAGGGATTGGGTTATATCTGACGCCACAAAACAACAGAACTAGCCGATCACGTGATCAGTTCTCCTCTACCCGAGGAACTATCCCAGATTTTCCCTAGATATATTTTTCCAGGTTGTACCTTTTTTAAAGTTATTAAAAACTAAAACGTTATACTATTTTTAATTGCCGTTATTTTCAATTTTTCATTGAAACTTGGTGCAATTTTTTTTAAATTTACTAAATCATATTGATACAATTTTATCGAGTTTTTATTTCATTTTGGATAATTAAATTCGGGTTTTTCTCAAATCTCCGCCCGAAATACTGCCTGTATTTGCGGGTTTTGCACTAGTACTATATCACATCGTTCTGAAGTCGTAGCATTCCCTTCATTGTGATTGGCTTGCTTCGTCTAACCGTAGCAAACCAATCATAGCGCTGTATTTGGAAATTTTTGCAGTGGTCAGATTGAAACTGACCGTTGCAAAAATTCGCAAATACGGCGTGCTGATTGGTTTGCTGCGGTCAGACGAAGTAAGCCAATCAGAATGAGGCAAAATGCTACTGTTTGCAATAGTCGCATCGACTTCAGAGCGATGCTGGCTTGTTATTGTCGTGTCGGCTCCTCGTTGTAATCGAATAGTCGGTAAATTTTAATCGCCGCTCGTTCCAAGGAGAAAGATATGGTGGCTTCTACATGACTCCACGATCTTCTGTGTATAATGAACGAATGTAAACGTGTTTCATTTAACGAAAAGGTGCGCGAAAGAATTCTGATCGAAAGCTTTTGGTGTGCGATTATTGGCATAATTTGCATTTCCCGCAATGTGAACTGTGAAGACAGCGCTGTTTGAATCACCTCCGTGTCAGGTCAGTCTCATGAATAGTATATTAAATATGTAAATAACATATCGAATTTTACACAGTTCATGCATCTCGAATATATTACCATATATTTGCTGATGAAACGTATCATTATAAAAATGCAGAACAATATCAATGGCCACTCACACTATTTGATAGCCATTGGCATGCCATGTGTGTTTATGTTTATAATAAGAAATATGTTAGTTAATCTCCTATATATTTTATATCTTAGACTTTGCTCATGTAATTATTAGTTGTAGACCTGTAGTCTATAAAGACTAGTGAGTAGTGTAAATGAAATTTATAG